TCTCCTTCAACCTATACTCATTCTTGTTGCCTCTGATACAAGGAAAGGTACTAGTCTTCCAATGTTTCTGTAAAGGAGGCAAAGTTGGTATCCTTGGCTCATGTGACACATAATTCCCCCTTAAAGGACGCAAGATTCTTCCCCAAAAGGCAATTTAGATCCAATCTTGAGACATGGATCTGTTTTGACCAAGAAATACACCAAATATAGAAAGCAGTTTCCATGAACAAGAAACATAACAAATACAGAATGTAATTTGTAACTTACAGACTCCAGCTAAAGTCAGAAGGCAATGAAGAAAACCTAGTGGTGGGATTCCATTTTCCTTCCACCACATTGATTTTAGTTCACTACCAAAGACTGATTCTTACATTCCACTTATCCAAATCAGGCTTCTTAGACACCTTGAATAGGCCTTTTATAGAGGTTCTCAGTCGCATTAAGTGATGTAAACAGCAAGGTATAGTGATGTATACCTGTAATTCCAGCAGCGGAAAGGCTGAGGCTGGAGGACACTGAATTTGAAACCAGCCTGGGCTACCCACTAAGACTCTGGTTATGATTTTGCAAAGGTGTGTGTGTGTGTGTGAAGAGTCCTTTCTGTTCTTCCAGAGGACCCAAGTTTGGCTCCCAGCACCCACATGGCTCCCAAGACCTGTAACTCTGGCTCATGGGATCCTCCAGTCTCTTCTGGCCTGAGGGCCCTTGAATATAAAACATTACATACACTCACACACCCCACACACATAAATCTTAAAAAGGGAAAAAAGTGAAATATTTAACCTCATTAAATGGCATGTTGTGTTTAATGCTGTTCAACCTATTATCCACATCACCATTTCATCTATATAGATGAAGGCACTCAGGGGCAAGAGTTAATATTTCCAGAGTCACAGATTATTCTCAGATAGAATCTCACTGTGTAGTCCTACCTGGCCTGGAACTCACTTTAGACCAAGCTGGCCTCAAACTGACAAGAGAGCTGACTGCCTCTGTCTTCCACGTGCTGGGATACTGACACTACTCTGGATATATGAAGTTAAGCAAAATACACAAAAATTAATTTCATCCTTTTAATTCAGAAGTGGTTGTCAGGAAACTTAAAATTACATACTTTAGTTTCTATTGCAGCACCTGTATAAGAATCTTAAAACACTGCACAAACCCTATTAGTCAACAGTATTTTTTCTTTTTCTTTTTTGGTTGTCAGTCCTATAGAATATCCCTTCTGGTATGCCTTAAAAAAAAAAAAAAGCCTCCCTACTCCCACTTCACAAGATGGTCAAATTCCAATTTGGTCAAAAAGTAGTTTAGGCTACCTCAGCACTTCAGACACCAGAGCATGTTTCCTGCTGGATACTGGGAATTCTGCCTAATCATCCTGCTCCTGATGTTCTTAGTAAGTGTAGCTCATGGCTTTTTTTTTTTTTAAATCTCTAGGCCAAACAGGAATAGCTGCATATTACCATCCCTTCCAAGGTCTTTGAAAGCATAAATTAAACTGAAGCAGCACGGGGTGCTCTAGTCCGAATAGGATCTGTTTTCTTGGTAAGCAAATTCACACCATTTCTAGCTTTTGTTTAAACACATTGCACTTGTGCTATGTATGCCTAAACCAGACCTTGTTTCATCACATCAAGATGTTCCTAGAAGGAATTAAATAAAACTGAGTAAACTGTGTTGAAGAACTATATACAAAAAACCATGAACTTCAGAAATTTAAGATTCCTACTATTCTTAATACCAAAGAAAACCACTTAAGAAAACTCACAAAACATGAAAGAGCCCAATGAAAGGTCTTAATAAAGGCAACATTACTGTTAATCTTTCCATTTTATATCTTGGTTCTAAATTTTCCAGGAATAAGCGTCATCTTACTACCTTCTTCATCCAGTATTCCTTACTGGCACAACCCTTAGTATTAAATTACATAGCCATCATGTCTTACACAGAAGAGTCACCAGTTATATGTGGGCTTCTTGCTAGTTACACATCTCAATTTACCAAGTTAACCGACAAACTTTTTAAAATTCACCACAGAAGCCTCACTTTCTTCTAAAGTCGCAAGCATATCACCCATGCTTAAAAGCCTTGCCCAAAGTTACACGAGTAGACTGAACTTGCTTCAAGTAAGTATCATCTGATATCATTTTTCTCATCTGATAACCTAGTCAGTAATAAAATTGGTTATGTGAGCCCACATCTTCAACACAATCTAATTTTTATGTCAAGTGAATAATCTTAGTCAAAAATGGCACTTTAAAAAATGTTTTAGCTTATATGTATAGTGTAAAATGCAAATGGCTAGACTAACAAGTTGGCAGAGTAACCATTCTAAGATTTTACTGCACAATGACTTAACATTAACCTCAAAGCTTAATGTTAGAAGCCATTTAATCCTCTATGAAGGTTTATCAAGTCCAAGGAAGGCTTCCTTGTTAAATATTACTCTAACGAAGTATTTTTCTCATAGGTGTGGACATAGAACTAAAAAAAAAAAAAAATCCCAAAACAAAAAAGCTAGGGGTTTGTAGTAGACAGACACCACAGAAAGCCTCAGGCACTATTTAGGTGTTAATTTGCATGTTTGACTATCTTTAGTGATGGGGACGGACAAGAAAACTGAAGCATGGAAAAAAGGCCAATGAACTTCAACTTACCATTGACTGATTACACACCACACACAAGCTATTTATACATGAGTGTTTGAGCTCATGTGTTAACACATACATATACACACACACACACGAGTCTATGGGCTGTTTCTTTGTGGACAGTTCCTGCCTGTGACAGAATGCTAATAATGTATAGATTTCTTATTAACTTGAGTAAATTACCAAATTAACTCATGAACTGCCTTTGTATACATCATTTCAGATGCATGTAACCCCCAAATCCTAAGTGTCTCAAACAGCCCAAATTGGCCTGAAACTTGCAGTAATCCTCCTCTCAGCCTCTGGGGTGCTAGAATTAGAGGTACAAAATGCTACACGTCTAGCTACAATCTAAGTTCTGTGGTGGTAATTGCAAAACAAATTCAAGAGTATCAATTTGCATAATCTCAAAGTTCAAAAACAGCCTGGTTTACATGGCAAGTTCCAAGACAGCCAAAAGCTACATAGGGACCGGCCTCAAAATACAAAAAAAACTTCTCATGTGAAGAATGCATCCCCTATCGAAAGAAGCACTTAGCTGTTGTAAACAAAATGGATTTGTATTTGTGCTACAAAGCTCATTTTTACTTGGACAGAAAAGTACTCTGTGGGAATATAAAATTGTACTCCACAATTTTCAGTTTTTGTGTTGGGTGCTTGCATGCAGGTCAAAGGACGGGTATTTCTCTGGGTTCTGCAGTTCAAACCCATGTTGTTAGGCTTGTGGTACCTACCCAATCTAGAATGTTCAAGTGTTGCAGTTACAAGCAGTCATAATGTAGGTGCTGGGAAACACTAACACTCTCCAGTTATGACCTAATACCACTGACAACATCCACTTTAAGAACTGTTTCAAATGAAGACACACATTAATTTATACATATGCAGGTTATTTACAGAAAGTAAAGACTCATGTAAGTTATGACAATTACCTAAAATGCATGCTTACTTCAAGTGGTGGGTATTGGACAAGCTGAGGCTTCATATAGCCATATAAACAGTTTGAAACCCTAAGAACACACTATATGAAAAACCAGACATGTTTAGCATCTTGCTACTACCTTATTTACCCTTTGTGGTTTACTACTTAGGGACTTTAATATGAACATCTTCACAGAGAACCCAACTCAGAAGGATGACTCCAATCACTTCAACTGACTATCAAATTTAGAGATCTTAAGTTAGGCATGGCAGCTCACCTATAATACAATACAGCACTTGAAATGCTGAGGTAGGAGTTTGAGATCAGCCTGGGCTACAAGGTGATTTACAGTTGGCAGCTAGTTTCAAACATTATCAACAAACCAGCCAGGCACTGTGGCACAATCTTACAATACCAAGACTGGAAGATTGCCATAAAAATCAAGGTTAGCATAGGGTACAAAAGCAAGATCATTTCAAAATCAAAAACAAAGCTGCAGATCTTAGCCTCTCTTATGTAGCTTTATGCAACCAAACTTTCTTTTTTATTCAAGTCCTAAATATTATTCTGAAAAAATAGCAAATATTTAAATGCCATTGAATTTTAAATTCTTTACTGTAGTTTTATGTACTTTACTGACATTCTCGATTTACATGTTATCATTTTAATAAATGGAGCAGGGCAGTGAGGCCTTAAAGCAAATGATAGCCCAATACTAAATCCTAAGCACAAAAACAAAATACCCTACTTTCCTTTCTAACCACCCACTGGGTTAGAAGCCCTAGAGATAAGGCCCACTTGATTACATGCAAAGATTTGCCTATTTACAGGACTAACATAGGACTTAATTTCAATACACATAGCAGTTAAATTAGTCTAGAATGAGACACACACTGAGTCCAATATTCTAGGAAGAATCCACAATCTTACTAAGTGCCTTCCACACTGAAATAATTCTCCCAAGTTGATATTCTTAAATTATCTAAATCCAATTCTTAAGGTTCCCATACATACACACACACACACATCTCAAGCCTCTCCCCATTTATGTGCTTTCTTTCTTCTCCACATTAGAGTCAAACGCATATAGAAATAAATTGTTTTCTGTAAGGAAAAAAAAGTCATAGCTATTTTATCATTCAGGATTCTTATGTCACCAGAAGAAACACAACATAGAAAACATACATATATGAAATTATTTAAATTTCATTCCTTTTTCAAATTTTAGGATCATTTCACCTGAGCTCTTAATTTGTCTAACATGTGCCACAGCTGAGGAAGTTTCACAACCAACTCATGGTACTCATGTGACTGAGTTCAAGAATGATCATGAAAAATATATTAGGAATATAGAGTCACTATCAAGTTGAATGAGTATTTCCCTATTTTAGGCTCTAAGGCTTAAAAACCCAATGAACAAGAAGTTTCCCTCTGTACACTGCTTTTATTATTTACATAATACAATATAGCATCAATGCTGAATAGCATGATTATGTGCAATACATAAATATGAACCTATCTGTACACATCTGCAAATCTAACTCGGAACTAAAGTACATAAAATTGAAGCAAAACCGAATGTTTTAATAAAGAAAAACTAGGACTGAACACTGCAATAAATCAGAAGTAGTGCCTTGTGTACATACTTAACTATTTACAAATGAAAACAGGCATTACCACGACACTAATCTAACTATACTCATTTATATATAAAAAACACAAGTTTCATACAGCACAAAAAACCTTCCATTATAACACAGAAGTGATATTACCAGACAAGCATCAGTGAAGTATACTGCCTTTTCTAGTTGTTATTGTACAATGCTGTAGATAATGCAGCCCATGCAATACACCCAAGAACACTAGAGTCCTACACCCAAATACAATATGATAAAGCAGCCCTCTGCAAGTGGTGCTGGATACCACTAAAGAAGTCTACTGCAGCCATGTTGGTTATGATTTTCCATGCAGAAGGGTACAGTTACATTAAGAACTGAAGTCTTTAAAAAGCTTTAAACATTCTTTCTTGAACCAAAACATTCAACAAAAGATGCACATGAAAAATTAACTGTTCAGATATCTTTGCAACTTAAAACTCAGATGCATGTTATTTAACAGAGCTGCTGTATGTGAAAACCAAACGCAGAGTTTAATTTCTTCTTGTAAACAAATCCTAGTGCAGTTCTGTGCTACAATTTTTAGTAATGAGAATGCAGGTATCTTCTGGTGCAGGCCAGCACAATAAGCTCCAAAGATTATCTCAGGCACCCTGTTGATGACTCGATGGTTTTATTTATAACCAGCTGTGACGTTACCTTTCGCAGAATGTCCTAATTGACGCTTTTAGAAGACCAATTTAACCAGGTTTACACATGGCACCAAAATACTGGTTTTGTAGCTTTCTTCCTGCTTCCAAAAGTCATGTTGAAATTAATGTGAAGTTTGACTATGGTAGTAGACTGCCAGTCCTTTTCTGGTGTACCATTTTTTTTTTAAAGTACAGGCACATAACACTAGCCAAAGATTATACCTTGATTACATTCCCAAAAGGCAGATATGCTGCAAACATGCAGAGATTTCATTCATTTAATTTGGCACATGGAACTAAATTTTGTTCCCAATATCTGTGTATTTTAATTTGTTGTGCAGATTTTTGTCCAATTTTACTGAGGGGAGGGCATATACATTTGTAGGGCTGTATCTATCCAATTCTGCCTGTAACAAACACCCAAACATCCTAAAATATCAATTATAAGACAGACAAATATAAAGCAAAACTCTGGAGAACATCAAAGGAAAATGGCCATGCATCTGCTCTTTAATGTTTTCCTACGATATATTAAAATAAAAACAAGTTTCAGTCTCTTCACATGTAGTAATTTTATATTCTCTGGATTTTTTCAGCAACAACAACTGGATTCTCTTTTCTGATTTTTGCTGCAGCTTCTGCTTTGTAATCGTATGGACAGTTGTGCTTGTCAGAGTAACGGTGAAGTCCACAAAACAAATTTCCACATCGGCAGTCAAACCCTGCACAAACAATAAGAAATCACTTGGCAACTTCTATCAATTGGGAAAACAAGCACTCTAGTCACTAGAGAAAAAGAACGATTTTCACTGCTTTGAACAATTATGAAAGACTGTAAACTCCTGACAATAGGGTAAAATTCAGGCAAGTTCTAGAATTAGGATGACTTGAATTCAAAACACAGCCTTACCACACCACACCAGAGTGGATAGTATCTCAAATGAAAACTATATACAACGAACTGCAAAATTCTGTTGTAAAAAACACCTAGACCATATCATGCCTGGTATTCACTTCTGTCAGTTCAGCTACCCTTTCTCTGTCAGCATCAATGGAAAAGGAATCAAAAGGGACAGATTTTATCTATCAAATAAAAATTCACAAGGCCTGAAGTTAATGATAATTACACGATTAGGCCAACATTACAATTGGATGGAAATGAAATCCAATTTCTCACAACCCACCAAGGTCCACCCTTTATGGAAATGTGAGGATCCTTTCTGTTTTTTCAAATGTGTAAAACCAATAGTTCCTTTTGGAGTTAATACCTGTAAGGCCAACTTTCTTTCTACACATAAAACATCTGTTCTTCTTTGGTTTGGGCAACTCAGGAGCTTTTTCTTCACTTTGAGAAGTACTGGGTTGAGAAACTGATGCACTGGGCTGAGTGACAACTGAAAGACAAGGTTATAAATTAGAAATTTGTGTGGCAATCATTAACTGACAATCATTTAAGTTTAAAAGAATAATATTTAAGAGAAACAGCTAAGGTTCAGATTATATTTTTAAGTAGCCCTTTCCTAAGTTTGACTATTTTCTGACAATTACTATACACTAGTATATACCTCTAGTAAATGACCAGCTAAATTCCTTTAAACAAGAAAAGCAGTTGCTTTCTAAAAATTTAAACAAAGATACCAAACATACTGGATAGGTTTCTGAATTATTCATTTTAGACTAGATCAAGATTTGTTTTCGTTTTTCTGATACAGTCTTACACCTGTAGCCCAGGCTGCCCTAGAATTTGATGCCATCAGTCTGCCTAATCCCATGGGTGGCAGGATAACAGGCATAGAACGAAACTGGGATTCAGACCAGGTTTTTTTTTTTTTAAAGGTACAACACTGTTACTTTTACTAATTGACATTATCAAAAGGCCGCACCCTTTCTTAATCCTTTTGTTAATTTCTATTAACAAGATTAGTCACAATGCAGACTGGTTTACTAAAGCTCCAAACCCTACTAGTTCTTCAAAATGAAATTCCAAAAAAATCTAATACTTATATTAAGCCTAACTGTATCTGTTTATAAATCTAATTGCTTGTATTTATATTAAACCTAACTGTATACTATAAAGGATTTACAGTGTAATCCAAAGAACAAGAACAGCAAATTTAGCCATACAATACTAAAACTACTGCCTAAACAATAAGCCAATTCCAATGCTTAATATGACCAAGTTTCCAGGACAAGCAGATTGCTTTAATGTAAACTAATCTCTCAATTCTTATTAGCAAATATACAGTGGTATCAACAGCCTAGTAGCAGAACAACAGAGAACATTCCACCTTTTTCCTAAAACTACTATGATAACTTAAAATAATTTTCCCTAATGCTATGCGAGTTAAGTAGCTGGCCATCTGAGTGTTAGTCATCCCTTTGCCCATGCCTAAAATGTTGTAAGTTCCTTAGACATACAGGGGAAGTGGAGGATAGAAAAGTAAAGAAAAAACAGACAGCAGTGAATCATAGATTTCTATTAAGTAACAAATGTGGTTATTAGCTACAGATCTACTTTCAAGTAGCGAGTGAGAGAAAATGAGGGAGTGTGTGTGTGTGTGTGTGTGTGTGTGTGTGTGTGTGTGTGTGTATGTGTGTGTAAATAAAACATATTTGGTCAGTTTTTCATTTCATGGCCAAATAATTTGACTTTCTGAGATTGATACAGTACAGGGGGAAAACAAAAAACTGGCATATTAGCAAAAGTCTTTGACACAGAGTGCTATCCCCTGCCATTTCCCCTTACATTTGTTTTATACTTCATTGTCTCCCCTCCACTAAAACCAAGCTGATTTGAGTAAATCATGTGTACACAGATAACACTAACACAAGTCGGTCTTCTTGTAACATTATAGAACATTAGGTGGTGCTATAAAAATAGCTCCAAAACCACTACCCATCAAAAATAAATGCCCTTCCATATCTTTAAGTTTCACAACACATGTAATGGGAATCCCACTTTTTCAATTCTCAGCATTAGTATGTTCTTTTGCTTTACTGTTTCCTACAACACCGACAGACTTGAGACTAAACAGTTATTATAAAACTCCCCATGGCCATGACATTTGAAGTCATTAAGTTCTTAATACATAAACAGTTTCCAGACTACTTGATTGTTTTTAGGAGGGTAATGAGGGGAGGAGCAGATGAGGGTAAAAATACTAACTAGTTTATATATTTTTTTAAATACTACTTATTTGCTTGGTCTGTAATTTATAGCCCTTCCTCTTTGGTCCTTCAATAAAAGGAGCGAATCCCATTACCAACTCAATTCTTTCTCATACTTTGAAATTCAGAACTGAACTAGTATTAAACTTAAAAAGCATACCTGGCTCTGACACCTCTGTTTTCGGGGTAGTTATTTTGTCCTCTCTTGAAATGCTCATTTCTGTCATTTGTTGAGTTACAGGCAAGGCAGCCACAGGCACATTTCTATTTGAGTTCAAGCAAACAATTATTTTTAAAGATGTTAAGGGTATTATTTTTTGAGATAAGTTGTCAATTCAAGTTTAAATTATGTGTTATTTTCAACATGATCAAACGGCACCACAGCAATTTAAAAATTCGGAAAAGATATTGGATGCCCAACATAAATGAGTAAAAATAAAAAAAGTAATTTCATAAATGGCTCATTGACTCATGGCTGCATATTTGTATAGTATCACACTGTAGGTCTAGAAAGTGTTTTAACTGCCTATAATTTAAGGACAAAAGGAGCAGCTGTGTGAAACACCTTGTGAGACACTGTAATACAGTCAACAGTCTTATTCTTTACAATCCCTAATCCTCAATCACAAAGAAATAAAAACACAACATTTTTAACAGTGGTCTTGAGGGGTTTATGGAATTAAGTTGTGATATAAACCTTTAATCAATGATCCAAGAGCCAGATATTTATTAATGGAATCCTTCAGTGTACAATGCAAAGTCAAGGCCACCTGATTACAACCACCTTGATTATTGTACGTATAGCCCAGACATCTTGACTATTCTGTTAGAGACAGAAATGTTCACTCTTACCTTGACTTTTCAGATGTGCTGCCAGCAGCACCTTCACAGTTGTTTAAGCTAGCATCTGCTCTCTGTACAGATGCAGAATCTGAGGTAGGACTGTTGGAACCACTAGCTGTCCCTATTTAAAAAGAAGGAGCTGTAAGAAACAAATCAGCACTACAAAAGCCCATTTAGTAAAGACTTAGTAAGTATCAATACTTGCATTTAATTTAATGATATAAGCACCTTCACTGCACTGCAATCCTACACTTGATATTCAGACAAAAAAGGGTCATATTCCAAAGAACACATGTATGACGACTTCAAAAAGGAAAACTAAAAATATTACAAGATCTTTGTAGAACAGTTACTTGTTCCTGAGGTAGTCCCAGCAAGCACTTGGGCTGTTGTCTTAATGTTTAGCTCTTGTCAGGCATTCTCTCCTTGAGTTTTCGATAGTCTCTTGATTCTTAGGTTTCCTCTCCAACAGTTCAAGTGTTTTATTCCCCCTTGGAAACAACTTACCCATTGGGCTCATTCTGCCACTATTCTGTTGTCTCTGAAGATGTTCTTTGTAGCAAACAGAACACATTCCATTTGTCCTAGGATTCCCATAAAAGCCACATCCTGTACTACATAGCATGGGCCCTGGGGTCTGGTTAGTTTCCTGAGCCATATTTTTCTGCTAAAAACAAAACAGAATTTTAGAAGTTAGCATGTAACAAGAAAACAGAATACAATCACCACTATACCTTTATTATTTTTAAACACCAAGTCTGTTACTAACAAAAACCATGATTATGTTAATTAAACAGAAATGAGTATCTTACTGACTTTAAAAAACAAAGAATGTGAAAGAACTGTTCTAGGACCAAAAGGAAATTATACCATTAAATAATAAATGCATGATTTCATCTTTTACTACTGAACTTCAATTTCTGAAGATGTCACCTTGTCAGTTTATTAGGGTTGTCTGAATCAATTTTGAGTATTTGTCTCTTTTACTTTCTGCTCTTGTACAAGCCAACCATTTCAAATGATGGTTACTTCAATAGGGTAAACACATAAACAGGAAGAAAAAAATCCAACTAATCACTATCTGGTATTTAGTTGTTCATGTTGCCTGAATCCTGGATTTAGCTCTACAGCTTTTAAATTAAGATTACTTTGAGATTATTACATGTGCATTAAGTGTTTGCATGTATGTATGTGTACATTACTCTGAGTTAACAGTGAGTCACTATGGGGGTGCTGGGAACTGTACCCAGGTCTCCTTATGAGATCATCAAGCACTCTACAGTCTACCTACAGGTTTCTTAAAATCACACCCTGAACCTGACTTAAAGACATACTTGGGCCCCACCAGTAATACTTCCACTAAGACAGGCACCTCAGTGCCTAGAAACCTGCGAAGCAGAAATTATCAGTCAGATTTTTCAGTCTCTATTATTTTTAACAAGCATTTCTTTTTCTCTTGCCAAAACCTAAAACCTTTCCAAACCCAAATTTGATGACATAAGCAATATAAAAACACACTCTTTGGTCATGGTTAATATTTAATGTTAGGCTACCATATAGAACTTGACATAGCAAGCATACCTGGGCCTTTCAAAAGTTGTTTAAATTGGCATAAAAAATGAACTAAATTTACTAAGTTTCCCATTGTGTAAAAGAAAAAAATTAGGAAAACTTACTTTTCAAAAAAATTATGTAAAAAGCATTATTTGGGAGCATTTGGTTAAAAGGAAATTGTGGTCATGTATTTTTTTTAAGCTACTATACAGTAAGACACAACCTATTAATTCTTTACCAAAATTACAAAAAACGAAGAAGGGGGAATAACCAATTTGACCGGACAGAATGCTGACCAAAAGTACCCAGTCTTGAACAGTTAAATGACAGCAATCTTTCCTTTCGTTAGCACAAGAGCACTTAATTTGAGCAAATCAAGCTTGTACATAATGATTAAAAGCCACTGTTTAGAACAATAGTAGTAATTTAGTTGACACTGTCTCTTTAAATAGTGAGTGGAATTTAGCTGACTCACTTCAGAGCTGGGCAGTGTAAATACTTCAAGATTACTTATGCAGTTTAATAAACACTTTCAGTTGATGCTTTTAAATGTTGAGTGTAACACAAGCACAAAAAAATAATTCAAATAAATTATGTATCTTTATTTTTTTCCACGCTGACTTTTACTCTATGCAGAAAGTTGGGCGTTTTTCAGCCCACTTGGGAACTATGCTAATCTCAGTTACTACTCTAACTTCCAGTGACACCTGGCATTCTCTAAAAGTATACTGAGGGAATTTTAAGACCAACCGTTGATCGAGCCGATTTTTAGTCAGTAAGAAAGTACTTTTCTTATGTGAATGAGACCCCACACCTAATGACTTCCCCACTTAGACAAGGATTCCACCTTCTTCAAAAAACACAACTCAAATTCTTAAAACTTGAGCACACAGAAAGGCAAGAAAGAAGGCATAAGTCCTCTATAAGGTCCCATCCTAGTAAGTCAGATTTTAAATGCCATCACATGTGCACAGCTTGCTTTAATATTTCTCTGAAGCTCAGATCACATGGGAGGGCGCTTCAGCCTGTCACAAGGCTGCAATGTGACAAGCCGAGCTGGATGGAGGCTCTCACATAAAGCCTAGTCAACAGGGGCCTCTGAAATCAGCTTCTATTTATATCTCAGAGCCTGCCAACTCCTACACAACCCCAAGAACTAACGATGCAGTATTCATGTATCTCACATAACAAACCAAAATGCAGTTAAGGCCTCCAGGTTTTTCTAATGCAGGATCAAAGAACAATTTCACCTTCAACCCACAATACCCAAACAGAATTAAGAACAAAATAAAATGTTATTGAAAAGGGGGTAAGAAGGCACAGTGGAGAATGCTCGGAAGCATAAATACTCCTTACATTTAATGAAAACTATATGCTGTTTTTAGTTTACATAGAGTGTATTTATTTCCTTTCTATTCTGAAAAAAAAAAACCAAAACAAGTGGTTAGAAACTTAGTATTCATCCATTAGCTCTCCCAGGTAGAGCTGCAATGGGTTTTTTATTTTGTTTTTGAATAAAGTTCACCGCTTTTCTTAATTCATAGCTTAAAACGAACGTCGTTGGACTAACGAATTTTCCAATTCAAAAACTGAAATGAATGAGCTTTTCTTTTAAACTATGGGTTGGCTATTTCAGGTGCACATAGCTAAAAATGGCAAGACCACTCACTAACCTCGAGCTAAGACCCGAATTCTAGGCTCTAAAGTGCCACTAAGCCTGACCTTGGGCGAGTCCTAGTCTACAGGTCTCGGTCACCTCAGTTCTTTAAAAGCTCCTTTTACAAATTTAACAGCAGTCCTGGGCACAAAAAAGGTACAACTAAACAAGTCCGTCATTTGGGGGCACTTAAAGGATAAACTTGAAAGGTAAAAGTGAGCTATTTTCATCAACTCAAGTTATGAAATCTCACTTTTAAAGAAATCATCAAAATGAGAAAATTCATTTTCATCGAACTATTCCCCCAGTTACTGACTACCAAATTTAGGAGACGAGGCTCTGACCTATATAATTATTTCCTCCTAAATATCCAGGTAATATTCTTCCGGCAACTTCGGTCGACAGACAACTTATAATACCGTCCTTAAAACAGAGCTCCATGGAAGGCATGGAAGGCGAGCAAAATGTTAATGTTCCCCAAGGTTCCCGCAGACAAAGGGAGAGGCGCTCCATCGGCCTCCGTGAACAGGATCCTGCGGGAGCCGCTTAACCACGCTGGAAAAATCTAAAAAGCCACCGGGAGCGAGCGGCGGAGCCGGCTTCCAGCGGTTTCGACCGAGTTCGGGGCCCGGCGGCCCCCATCCCCCTCGCAGCGCAGGCCGCGCACCGGGACGCCCGGCAGGGCCTGCTCCAAAAAGCACTGAGTCATGCACTCGG